TCTTGTAAATAGTCTTATTTATGAAAGCTTATAATTTAAATCTATTCTTTTTCTGTGTTAATTCCAATTTATGTTTCAGAACCATTTATCAATGTTAGAGCTTTGGAATACACATTGCTTTGAGACTCATAAGGGGAAGGCGTTAAAAATATGCAACCTGTGTTAAGGTCTGAGTTTACCAGCTGCTTAGGATGTATTTCCCTGCTGTTTTCTCTTCTTTTCTTTCATTAAAAACATTAATATTAAATCTAGGGTTTGATGGTGTAGCAAGTAATCAAGGGAAGACAAATATTTCACTGCAAATATTGTGCGATTCCATATTTTTATATTTTTTCACATTAAATGTATTTTTTGTTCAACAAGGTATCTAGACATATACTTGAGTTTGAAAGCCTGTACAAAGGCAGATGCATGTTTCTTTATCTATATCTATGATTGTAACACATGTTCAATTTCATATGCATCTAAAATCTCTGCTGATTTTTTTTTTTTAGTAAAGTTACTATTTTCACAAGATTGTATGCACAAAGACTGGGATAATTGGTACTTGCTTTTAGGTAAATCAGTTAATACTCAGGATTTTATTTGAACAAATTGAGATCTTCCATTTAAGGGTTTGTTAGAGGGTACAAGTTAAGTTGCACTCTCTTTTCTTTAGTATTTTCACTCAATGGTGTTCTTGTATTGGTCCTCTGAAAACTGGATTTAGGGAGATGGCATATTAAAAAAAAGGAGTTGCTTTTATTAGATATCATGATATTAAGTTCAGCTTCCTCTAGTATTCATAATGTTCACATTCAGTGCTATGAAAGAAAGGCCATTTTTGACCCCTCGTGCACAGTTCTAGTCATTGCAATGAGAGTGCTCTGCTTGGTGATGCCCTGGATTGCAGAGTGCTCAGGGTGTCAGTTTGAAGGTGTCATGATTTGTCTGCTGTGCTCCTCCAGAGACACATGTGCTCCTGCTGCTGAGTTCCCAACATTTTTCTTTTGTAGCTGCCTAGCCTGGAAAATTCCATATAAAACCTCAGATGCAGCCTCCTGAGGTGGATTTTTTTGGGAAAAATTTAATTTCACTATGTATGAAACAACATTAATGCTCCTGCTGTGTTAATTCTGTAAAATGAGTAGTTGCTTTACTATACTCTTCATGTCTTAGTTGCCTCCTTCATGGGAAATTCCATCCAATTTTAGCTGGGGAGTTTAGGCATTAGCAGTCAGTTATGAATTCTTACCTTAAGTATGGCAATGTACCTGAGGTGGTTTGGGATATCCTATTGGTTGTGGGTTCAAAGTTATGCAGCTTTGCTTAACACTCCAGTGGGAAATTCTGGCCATGTTGCATTTTGCCTTTGATATGTTGCCACGCCACCACCATTAATGCAAGCTTAGACTGCAAAGATCTGTTTGCTTTTATTGCACATGTGTTGCTTAACAGGTTCAGTTTTTACATGATGTGAATCACTGGACTCAATGAGCGTGCATGATTGGTTTAATAAATAAGCCTTAAGTTGTGTTAATAAAGTGTGTGTCCTAAAGAATAACGTATATGATATACACAGAAAAGTGACAAGTTCACGCCTAGACTTGTAAATATTCTGTATTTTAGTGGGTTTTTAATGGTTTGGAGGGACTCACATAAGTGTCAGAAGGAAAGGTTATATGCATCTATATGTCAGACAAAGATGATGAGAACAGAGCAATGCACCTGATAGAAAACAAAATGTTGAAAGCTTGACATCCTTCATTCTAGAATCTCACCTCATTTATGGCATGAATGGAACACTTGTAAGAAAAAGCATGCATTTTGATATCACTACATCTGCTCTAGAGGGCTCTCTTTAATTAAAAAGTTACCTGGGTTTGGAAGTAAGTTTAGCTGTTAATCTCAGGAATTTTTCAGCAATACCCCATAGGTACATTGGTGTTTCAGAGACCTGCCATGTTGGTTCTAGCCTGTATCATTCCACATTGCTGGAATGCACAACAATATTACTTTGGTTTGCATTAATGAAAGAGAGTGAAATGATTTACAATTGTTAGCTTGCATTTTAATTCTGGAGGTTAAGCTAATGTGCCTTCAAGGTTTAATTCATAGGTTTCTGTACCATGGGAGTCCAATTTGGACATTTTCTCTGCCACATAAAACTAAAGCAACAAAACACAAGGAGAAAATGGAAGATTACAGTTGAGCAGAACCATCAGCTGAAAGGCCTGTATTCCCCCCTAAACATTTTAAAGTTGGTATGCAGAATTGCTATAATATAATAAAAATTAAAACAAAAAGCTCTCTAGAAAGGGCTTGCAAAACCAAAAAGTTTAATTGATGGAGTCAGTGTCATCTGCCAAGTTTCCAGTACAACACCCAGGCTGAGGGAGGTAGAACTAAATTTGAAAGTTATTTCACTAGCTGGCAAGCTGGTCTGAAATCAAGAAGATATAATGGAATCAAAAGAAGCATGAGTTTCTATAGTCAGAGAAGAAAATATAATTTATTTATAGAAAATGGGGAATAATTCAGTCAGCAGGAGTATCTGTGGGCTACCACAAATTAGAAAATGAATGCAAGTTGCTGATGAGGCAAAATGCTGAAATGTGAAAGCCATTCTGGGAGTCATTACTGAAGGTATTATTAACAAGAGGATGAGAAGTAACCATTTTGCCCTGTTCTGCTGTGATAAATGCCATCCTGAATTGTGCAGCCAGTTTTACTGGGTGATACTTTAAGAAATACAGAAACAAACTGGAGAAAGACTAATGGAAAGCAAACAAAAAATTGTACTAAGGAAATGTGACATAGATTGCAGGAATTGAGTGCATTTTATTGAAAAATCTGGCTTCCCAGTGTGTCCTGTGCAAGCATCTTATGAACCAATATTCTGTACATCTGCCTACACCCAGAGGTCCAAGGAGGAGCTGAGCTTTTGCTGCTGCCCATTGCTGCCTTCATACAAGAACAAAAGGTGAACACATCCAGTTCCAGCAGCCACCCCCAAATCTGGCAACTCATTGGTTTTCATATCAAACTGCTAGTTGCATGAGCTCAGCTTGGTGAATTGCTGTCTAGAAAAGAGAATAAATAACACTGACATGATTATAAATGTGACAGCAATTAATTGTTCTTCATCTCTGAGGATAGAACAAAAGACAATTTGCAGTAATGTTGGGTTTTATTAGATTCCATGAAGAACTCTACAGCTGGTATTTAGGCACTGTGATGGGTTATCCAAAGAAGATCCAGGTCAGTCTTTGGAGATTTTTCAGACTGAACAACATACTTTCTGTGGAGGATCTAAGTGTAGTTGATCCTCACAGTGAGGAGGGAAAAGACCTTTTCAGACTTACAACTGTAGATGCTTGCTATGACTTTGGCTGTTTCCCTAGCATGAAATCTGGAAATATTTTCCAATTTCAGACCCCAAGCTGTCTCATGTCCCAACACCCTAGCAGTGCTAAAGCTGGGCCTGCATTTTCCTTTCATGTCCACTTTATGCCTCCAGTTTTCATACTCTAATCAGGTGCTAGTAGATCAGCAGTGAGATTGGTGTCTCACAGCTGGCCCTTACCTGTAAAGAAGAGCAGATTCAGCCTCAAACTGGGATCCACTGCTACCCTCTTTACTGATTCCAGTACCACAGACTCAGTGCTTTAGAGTTTGGGAACTCTGAATGACTATGTTACTTTTGCTTCTACCCAATTATCAGTCTCAAGAGTTATTGCCAAGACTCCCATTTTAATTTTAGAATTTAGTAACAATAAATGCAGAGATTACATGAATAAATACAAAATGTAATAAAATCTAAAGTCTGGTAAAAGTGAATAGTTACACATGTGGAAATTATGCCTTAAAATATTGCCATTTACTCTGCAAAATACACTCCTTTTTCTCTCTTACTGTGTAGATCATGTGATGTAGCCATGAAAACTGGAACAGCACAATCTCTGTTGATGTAAAGTAAGCAAGAACATAACTGCTGTAAATAAATGTGGGGATTATGTTAGTGGAGGAGAGGAGGCTGTTCTCCTCAGCATTGAATCCAAGTATGAGGTAGGTTGGATAGTTACATGACAAGGTTCTTTTTGGAGAACAAATTTGGTTTGTTGTGTAAAATGTGTTATTGATGTGCTATGGGCAACAAATGAGTCTGTCTCCCCTGTTTGTGTGGCAGTGCTGAGTCATTGACTACAGCTGATCGATGCTGTTTGCTGCAGTGCTGTATCCATTCATTTCTCTGTGAGAGTACAAGGCAGAGCATTCAATCAATAAGGTCCCAGATTAAAGGCAACGATCCAGGAAAAGGAGAATGTAAAAATAGAAAAAACAGGGAAATGGGACTGAGATTAATTTCCTCTACTTGATACTTCCCGTAACCTTCTTGTGACTCAGCATTTCTGAGGTTAGCTACATTGTAAGATCATGATTCATGAGGTTTGTTTGCTAAATGAGTTCCTTAATGATGGTTAAATTAATTGTTAGTGTCTAATTTATGAAATGACAAATGCTGAACTGTTGACTTTCCTAAAACTGGAAAATTCTCATACTGTGATTTTAAAATATAGGTGAATATTTTTATTAGCAGTAAACCTTTTTACTATCACAGCCATCCATTTGAATTAGTCCATCTGTTCACTTGTCTTTGAATATTCCACTCTGATTTGGAGGGTGCAAAGGTGGTACAGCAGAGATATCTTCTCACAGAACAACCTGCTTTCTACCACACTGTTCAAAGACATATTCAGTAGCAGAGCCTGAATATGCTTCACTCCTCCTTTCACAGCTGGGGCCGTTCTTCAGAACTCTTCTCCAGGCCGGTATTGAGGCAGAGTGGCGAGACAGTCACTGTGAATTTCACAGCTCTCTGGGCAAAGACTGTGCTTGACTGGGGACTCCATCTTGCAAAAAGGATGCCATAATGCATTCTGCTCATTCCTGTTGGAAATTTACTATCTTCCACAGTGGTTTCTGTCTTAATTCAATCCTTATTCTGAGCACAGAGGAAAGGAATGTTGTCTCAGGCCGCCAATGTGTAACTGTTAGGAAAAAATACTTGGTTTGTGATGGCAATAATTACTACAACCATTAATTACAGTGTTTTCGGGAGAGAAGTGTATCATTTCATACTCATAGGCAACATCACTATACAACTCTTTCTGAGGTTTAGAAGTTTTCCATCTAAAAATAATTTGCAAAATTTAAATTGAACCAGGCTACTAAAATATTCAGTAATTTTAGGCAACTGTATAGCCATATGTCTATTCCAAACCAGCTTTTGACATCTTGCCTAGAGGAAAATACTCTTTAAAATGTTTGGACAGACTACATCTAAAGCTAAAGCTTGTTTGAAATCTGACATTCTTCTGTGCAAGGTTCAGTATTTCTCCTAGATCAGGACTGAGTCAGTGGTTTTTCTTGGTTTTATATTCTGAAAAAGTAAGTCTGGACAATAACATGCAAATATGGAACCAATATTAAAAAAAAACAAACAAAAACATTCTGTACTTTCTAAGGAGCTGTGTCTCAGCATTTTTCCTCCACTGAAACAATTTACCACGAGATTGAGATTGAGAAAGATGCAACCAGGTTCTGCTAGCATTCAAGGTGTGTGAGGTGTGATGTTAAGCCTTGACTGCTGTGCCTGTTGCAGTCACTATCCCAGACCAAGACCTACAACATCCCCATTACAGGGGGTGATGGCTGCCTGCTTCTGTTATCCAGAAACTTCACTGATTTCTTTAGTGCCAGTGCATAGTTTTGTTTGCTTGCAATTTTCTTCAACATGTGATTGCTAGTTACTGCTCTCTCAAGAGCTGGACAAAGCTCATTGTTTTACAAGCCCAAGAAGAGAGGCTTTAGGTTTTATCTATCTTTTTATTACTAACTTGCCCAGGAAATACAAGATGTGTGCCGGAAACCTTCCCTCTCCTAAAGAGGCAATGCTATGGCCACAAGGTGACATATCTGTGTAAATATAAACTCATTCACTCCTGGAGTCCCTGTGTCACTGGAAGAACAATGTCACACAAATCAGGACTTTGTGGTCCTCTGGGGAGAGCTGTCACCAAAGGAAGGGAATACCCTGGCTTGTGGGCGTAACTCATGTCACTCTTACATTTTACATTATGAGGATGTTGACCCAAAAAATAAAGGAACTTTTCCATGCACATGGAGACTGAAAATGTGACAGGTGGAAAATTAAGACTAAATCAAAACAGGCTTTCAAAAGCTTTAAAAGCTCCATGTAAAAGTAGGTGCCTCCACAGGCTTCAGGCACTTTCATTAACTTGTGTCTCTTGAATTATGAATAGGTGGTGATAGGAACTAGGTGCTGAGATGTTTGTATGAGCATAGAACCTGATTTTTCTTGGATTTAAAAAAAAAAAAGTTTGTCCAAATTAATCAGTCTTTCACTGTAATTGTTTGGTGCAGACTCTGAATGAGTTACTGTTCCTAGGCCTCATGTTTAAGGCACTGTTTGTTTTTCAATAGAGGGGGAATGGGGATGTATCTGTTGAGCAGAGTGCTTGGAAGGTGGCAGCATTACACATTCCCATCTAGGAGAGGCTGTTCCCAAGGTCTGTTCTTCTGTGCCCTGGAAATCATAAGGTCTAGCTCCCTTGGAGCATTCTTTCTGGAGATACATCAGCTGCAGGTAAGGATTCCTTTCTCAGAATAATCAGTGTTTTCAAAGCAGTAATATTAGTCTGCCTGCAATTCCTAGAGGAAAAAGGGTTAACTTATGAACTATGGGGAGCAGAGAGCCCTGTGTTCATGGGGCCACAAGATTTCAAGGTTCTGAACACATAAATTAATATAATAGTCCATGTAAAGTGAGACTGACATAATTTTTAAAACTTGCAGGTGTGTAATGGGATCTCTCTGTATTATCAAAATTCATCAACAGTAACAATACATGTAAGTGCTGAAGGCAGTTTTACTATTGTTTCCTATAGTCAGTTTCTATTACCTGCCACTGTTTTCTCATGCTCTCAGATGGGTAGAACTTTTTTCTTATGTGCAGTAGTAACCACTATAGGTTATGCTGAATGTTTGAACATGAAGCATGACTTTTCTCAATTGCACTGATTGAATTTGTCTTTTAAGTTTCCGTGAAACTGCAGGGAGAAAGGAGCTTTTAAGATACTATAAGAAGTGAAAGGATCTTGCCTTTTTCTGTTATGACTTGTTAGGAGCCCACACTTGGTTTTGGACAAAGGATTCCAGACAGCTGGCTTCGTTCCAAAGTGACTTCCAACTTCATTCTTAAAGGAAGAGATCCCAGGTGCAGGAGACTGAAGTAATAGGGGATCTAATATTAAGAGTCTCATTTTTTTCTTCTATAGCATATTTCTTTTTTCTGACTAATGTAAGATAGGTATAATTCCAATCTAATTTACAATTCAATGGTAAGTACACTTTCTTTTTGACTCTTCAAGTGAAAAATACTGCTGTGCTGAACCCCACTGTTCATGTGTCTTATAGACCATAAGGACATTTGTTCTTCTGCCCTTCCATGAAAAAGACAAAACATCTTTCTGTTTCAAGAGAGATTCTTCACCATATATGTTGTTCTAGAAATAAGATGCAAGCTAATAAACTGAAAAAATAGGTGGTATGGTGCTGCTTTTGCAGTGCACTATTTGTCTGTTATAAGGAATACAACTGTCTGAAAAGGTTTCAAAAGCACAAAAGAGAAATTATTTACAGTATTTCATCCCATCATGTATTAAAGAGGATGTTGAATGAGTATTACAGAAGCATTCAAACTGCACTGATCAGCACACAGAAATTATTATATGGTGTGTGACAATTTTTGGGAGAGGTCTGTATCCAATTATAAATTCCTCTTTAGTTTATGAGTAACATTTTTGGAGTAGTCTTTCAAGGGAAGTGGTGAAGCACTGTGTGCTTCAACTGTTGGCAAATGAGATCTGCAAAATGTATGAAGGCTCTTCAGAAAGCAGATCTGAGAGGAGCAGTGGTGTGGATGTGATGACATAGTGGAGCTTCCATGTCTCAATTCTGACTTGCATTTTGACAGTTGTACTGACACAGAAGCACCAGGTTGTGCCAAATTTACAGAATTCAGAGTAAATGAACAACTTCCTCCAACTCTGTTGTTAGAGAATTTTCAGATTGGGGATTTTTTTGTTATGTTTAGTTCGGGGAATTGTGTGACAGTTTAACTAAGGATGGAATCACTGTTCAAAGCACAAGAAATAACAAACTCTGAAATAGCAAATGTCCCACCAATTACATAACTGGTCTGTGTTATGAGAAAGAGGCACCACATATATCAACATTTTTCTCTATCACATGGGATGACATTAGAACCCACTGTGGGCTTTGTTGCTTGCCTTTGAAGAACATCTCAGCCGCTTACTCAGAAATAGGGCAAATAGCCATATTCCATATTTGCTGAAGCCCCTGTGAGTTGTTTATTTCTGGTTTCTGTTATTTTGTTGTTTTTTCATCTACTGTTTCTGGTTGAAAGTTGGTAAAAACATTTTCTTGGGAGAATTGATTAATTTTGACAACACCTCTATTATAAAAAGGCTCTTCAGTCTAACAGATGTTAAAATGGAGGGTGTGGAGGAGGAACAGAGAAGCTGGCTTCAAAAGTGCATATGCATTTGCATTCAGTCTCTCAGTCATATCAAGTATGAAAATATGGGATTTTAACCCTGAGTCTGTCATGTCTTGAATAAGTGACCCAGTCTGGCTGCTTTGAGTTGCTCACAGCTTTTAATGTTATATTTTGTATAATCATCGTTGTTCTTTTTTGTCAGAACTCAGAGCACACATCTCAAGTGACTTTTGTAAGTATATTATCAGAGTCTGAAGTGAGAGAGTCTTCTTTTCTGTTGTCTTTGCTTCAGAACACCATAAATTTACCTAGGTGTATAATGAGACACTTCTGAAACTACAACCTTTTTGTCTAGTTTAACTTTGTTGATATAAAGTATTTTGTCTAAAAAGGCAAATTTTCCTGTGCCTCCTTTCTTTGCAGTAACTTTTGAAATACCCTAGTCTGCTGAAATTATGACACAATGAAGCAGGCAAATGTAGTCCTATAAAGCAAATAGTTCTGCAGCAACTGCTCTATAAGGGAAGATGAAGGGACCTTGTTTTATGTCAGACTGGTACAACTGGCAGCTTCTTACACAATGCTGTTATGTTTCTGGAACAAGTTCAAATGGATTTTAGTGTGGGGGCCCTTAACCATGTGAACCACCAGCTTTACTCAAAAGTGACTGGATTAATAACAAGGCACCAATGTCTCTTTTTAGTCCTTTCTTTTGAATAGGATGGCATCTTGATTTATCCACAGCTTCATCAGCCTGTCCCCTTGTCTGGGGCCCTGAGCATTTGTCCTCACTCATGCAGATGTTATTTTTGGTCAGGCTGTGATTCCCTCTTTTAATAAACCTCTTTCACTCTTTGCTGAAAGCCTGTCTATTTGGTAAACTTGACCTCTGGCTAAGCAAGGCTTGTAGCCTGTTAGGAAAGAGATTCTTTGAATGTAGCAGCTTTACCTGTTGTTTTTCAGCTTTGTGCAAGTATGGTCATGCTGAGAAAAGTGGCATGACACTCCTACTGTAGTGGGGTGCTGTGCCTTCAACAAGTGTGCTATCTGTGATTAATTCATATCACTGGCCAGTTTTACAGCATTAAACGACCTTCAGAACTAAGTGGTGCAAAGAAATTAATATCTTGCACACAAAGTTTCGGTGTTTAACAACTGAAAAGGACTCAATTTTATTGTGAATGTTACTTGCTATGTTAGGTCATGAGGACCAGAAAACAGGGATCTAATGCTCTGAACTTGTAAACATTCACACACCTGCTTAACTTGACTGTATAGCATAGTCCTGTGTGGGTTAGTAGGTCTGTTCATGGCAATAAAAGTAATCATGCAAGAAGGTCTTCTTAGAACTGAAGCCTCGTATTTGATTCTCAATAGTATTGCAGAATAGCTTAACAGAACCCCACTGGCAACTAGATGATTTTATGCATCTGAATTTTGAACAGATGTCAAGGAGCCTTTACATTATAAACTGAAAATATCAGAGTAATAGCTCCCTGTAAGTGTACCAGAGTAAAGTATCAAGTGTATCAGAGTAAAGTATCACTGCAAGGATGCAGAAAGACTAGAACACAAAATATTTTACAGATGTTACTTTTCCATTTTGTTCTTCCCACAGTGCTGATATTGCTCTTTCCACAGTCTTGAGACTGACCCAGAAATGTTTTGACAATGTTAAAAGTTACTTGCCTTCCTTTACCTATCACAATTTGCCAACCAGCATTTTCATGCAAGATTTGAGGTGGAATGTTGTAAAATTATGTGCTTTTAGTCTGTAAAACTCTGGACTCTGTCCAATAGACCGTTTTTATATGGCCTGGATCCTTTTCAGACAAACAGGATCTGTACCAGGGTGCAAAATTGTAGACAACTGATGCATTCTTTAAAATAACTACAAGTTGGCTTGCTGCCTTTTCTGGGAGTCTGTCAAGACTCCCTCACTGGTGCCTAGGAATGTATTTTTGAAACGGGAATTGTGAGTGCCAACAAAGTAACAAGTTTAAAGGTAAGCTTTCTTTCCTGTGGCAGTCTGAAAATTTCCTTTGTAACTTAGTGGCCCTCTAAGTAAAATGGTGAGGGCACTTAATCCTTCTGGACCTACATATCTGTTATCTCAGCAAATAAATATTTTTATGATCTATAAAAGGCAAATGTACCATAAGGGTTTTTTTTTTCCTCTTTAGTAGTAGACCAACGTCCTAAATCTGTGATGTCATTGCCAAATTTGCAATTTAGAAATTTATTACTTGATGTGTAAATTACTTCAAAACAAGCCTCCTCCAGAAATCTTCTACTGCGGGTAGCAACTCCTTTGTACCCATCTGGGGAAAACTACTCCATCTCCTTGGATCGCCTAGCATTTATTAGTTGCATTATTTTCCTGCTTCTTCAAATTTTTGTCCTGTATTTTTAAACCCAGAACTTCTGGATCTTCATTGTTCTCTGCCATTTATTTGATGGGGTCACCTTTAGCTCCTTCCACTAGGCATCTGTTCTTCACCTTAGCTGTGGCAGTAGCATATGAAAGGTTTTATCTATCTCCACTGTCGGATTCAGCTAAGAGATACTTCAGGCAAACAGAAAAGTACAAGTGCTGGTGGTAGGATAGGTAAGAGGGGGATGGATATGTTCTTTTTTATTCTCCCCAAGGTAAACAGGCAGGCGTCTCTCAGCTGTAGCTGAGAAGAGGGAAGGCTCATAGGCAAGGGTCTTCTACAGAAGAAAAAAAATAGTGACAATTGCTTTTCCCCTGAACAGTTAGCAAGGGGAAATGGTTCCAGATTATCTTCCATCAACCTGTCCTTTTAGACCTTAGATGGGAAATTTGGCAGGGCTCTTACAAATATATCTGCTTCTCCATGAAGTAGCAGTTTGTCTCAATTCTCCTTGCTAGACAGAAATACTAGGGATTCTAGCAGAGACCAAGTGAGCATCCTCCATGTGTCTGTCATGTTGAATAGGAGTAACTATGTCTAGAAAGTGTCATATTTAAACTCATGCCATTTTTAAAATTCCAAACTTGCCTCAAGTAAATTGTGTGAACACATGATGATTTTTGTCCTGAGGCTGGCAGGGGAGAGGTTGGAGTCTTTGGTACTGTTAATTCTACAAGTGTCCTGCATATTAGAGCAGTGAATGGGCTGTGGCAGTTGCAATACCACAAAATTATATCCCAAATGTGCAAGCTTTTTGAAATTTCTCACAGATAAGAAAGGTTATCTTGAAGCAAGCCCTCTTTGAGTTCTTAGTGATATGTACTATGGCTCTAGAAAAACACACAAACTCAGGTTGCCTTTAGAAGTTTGGGAATGGTGTAATCAAAGTGAATATTTGCAGAAGTGGTTAGGTGGTTAGGTGTTTTGGTCCCTCTAAATTAACAGAGAAAGGTACAGTCTACTGCCGAAAAACTAATAAACATAACGGCTCAACTGCTTGCCAGCATTTGTTATGCCTTAGGAGACATTTTTTTGTGTTTTTTTTTCTTCTGAATATAGCTCAGGATTGATGGAAGTAATTATACCTTTGCACTGGCCCTGGCTAGAATAGATTAGATTTTTCTTTTCATAGCAGCCCTGTGTTTCAGAATTTTGACTGAAATAGAACTGATAACACTTTTAATACTCTAGTTGTTGCTGATCAATATTTGTACAGCATCAAGGTCTGCTCTGTTTCTCACTCTGACACCCCAGTGCATAGAGGGTGAAGGTTCACAGTCAAGCAAATGACCTGAACCAACCAAAGGGATATCCCGTGGCAAATAAATTCATGCCTCCCAATAAAAGGGAAAATAGGGGGATATAGGGAATTAGCCACCTTTAGCTCCAGAACTCTCTAGGCATCAGTCTACCCACAGAAAGTGATGAGTGATTGCTTTTTCATTGCTTGTTTTCTCCCGTCTCCCTCTCCCTTTTTGTCCACTTCTTCAATTATATTTTTTTATTTCTTCAATCTTGTGTTTTCATGTTAGTTGGTATTTTTTTCTTTTCTTCTTCCCCCATCCCAGTGAGGGTGGTGCCTGAGTGGCTCTGTGGTGCTTACCTGCCCACTGGTGTTAATACACAATAGCCATACTTTGTAGGATTGAGCTCTTCATCCCCAGAAGATTCTGGCATCATCCTTGTCTTGTTTCATCCAAATCTTCTGATTTGCAGTCTTTAAAAAAATAAATGTATGTGCAGATGTGAGTACATGGGTTTATGTATGCCTCAGTGAAAGAAGGAAAACAATTGCTGGAACCCAACTGAACAGTCTTTAAGTATTAGTAGTTGTTTTCCATTCATAAGCACTTTGATAGCAATCTCCAGCAAAGGACAAAACACGTTTGGAGGCTTATTTTAAGTGAAAATGAGACTCCTATATCTATGGAACTAACTTTGGATTCCTTTAAGTCCCAAGCTGCGTCACAAGCAGGCCATCTTCCATATATTTTCATATTTTTCCTTCTACCCTTTGAATTGTTATATGTTTGGGGTTTTTAAAAATAAAAAAGGAGAAAGATTTTGGTTATGTCTGTATTCATTAAATGGCATAATTTTGCTCATTTAAATTGTAGCAGTTTTAATGGATAAATTCTAGATAAGTCGATTCAAGAGGAATATTTGTTGCTGGTTATTCATCTTTGATTTTAGCCTTTTTGCAGTGTGATTGTAAGAAAGACAACAAGGAGAGTCTGAAAGCATGTTCTTTAAAGTTGTAACATTAGTCATTTTTTAGCACACTTTCTAAGCACTGTCAAGTCAGTGATCTGTTTTAAAGCCTGAAAACCAAAGCTGACAATTCTTTTCATTGTTTATAGAGTTGTAGAGAAATTATATGCTTTGAATTATGTTCGAATAAGATCTTAGAATAAATTGGGATGTGACTTGGTCCTCAGTTCAACTGAGTAGAAAGAGAAGCTGTGCATGCACAATAAAATGCAGAATTTGAATCTTTACTAAATGAGGGAAACAAATTAAATTTCCATGCTTCTTTGATCTTTTAAAAGTTCTGTATAATAATAAAAGGAAGTGCTGTAATTTTATATGGGCTGTGAGGATGACTATAAAAAAATAAAATGTAACTGAATTAATATGGAAATCTTTACTAATAAAGTTGATTAATTTGGTTATTGATTTTTTTTTATTAAAGTACCCCCCAAGCTGTAGAAAAAAGGAGTTTTATTTAAATATTTAAAATAAAAACATAATAAGTAGTAAAAAGGATTTTCTGCCTGAAAGTATCCCTTTATTTTATTAAAATACTTTTCTTTCCCCTGGTGAATTACCCAGCATATTAAGCAAGCACAATGTAAGAATGTTTCTTGCAGTGTTTCAGCAGGAAATATGTAGCTTTGGTTGTATAAAATGACAGTGCTCAGGAAGGCAAACATATTGAATTACTCCATTAATAGAAAGGAGACGGTATTACGGTAGTTTTCCCTCAGGCACTGAGTTTCACAGGTGCTGTAATCATGGTGGGCTACAATGATAGTACTGTAAATGCAAAAAATAACAATATGCAATTAGATGAATTTTTGTGTGAAATGTGATAAATCAAGGAGTGGAATTTGTCAGACGTCAGTTCCCTAACAGCAAGAATGTTTATCTAAACCACAAAAACCTCACAGCTGAAATCACTATTTTCTCATGTTTTCACTCAGATCACAAGAGAAATATTAACAGCACCCTTTTGAGAAAGAAGCTTTTTGGTCTCTTTTTGCATTCATTAAAAAGCACTTGTTAGGCATACTTTTGGCAATATCTGTACCTTCATTTGCATGCTTTCTGAAACTATCATTTTGTGTGTGAAATGACACTGCCTGTCATTTACCTCCCAGTTTGGGAAGGGTAGAGTTGAGAGATAATTAAGGGAACTCTTGCAAAGAATTCTGCACACCCATCAGTCTTCTGTGGGAAGTGTTTCTTGGGAGAGGATGCTGGCATTGAATGAGGCATACTATCTAGGTATCACTGCATTTTCTTTGATAATGATAGAAAATGTGTTGTTGAGAAACATAACTGAGAAACTGTAACTCTGCAGTGATAAAAATGTTACCTCTAACCATGACCTGATATCCGAAATCACAATTTTCCTGGGAATTGCACTTTCTTCGGGAGTTTAACTATCGTAGGTCTTAATTTCTTTTTTGCTATAGGGAGGCATTTGTTTTCAAATGCAGAAGTAAAATTACCAAATGATGCATGTACAGAAATGTGTTGTGAATGACCATCCAGCTTCCCTTGAGAAGTGATTTCTGGCCCTAAGGAGGTGCCCTAGAAGCATAACTGAAGTTCAAGAGAGCTGCAGCTGGGCTGTGCCAAGACACCTTCACTTGTCCCAGTTCTGAGAGATAATTCCTGACAGTATAGGCCATGATGTGATGCTCAGCTCAGGGGCTAAAAGGTCCCTATTGTCTTTTTGAGTGCATATAAGTTCAAAGTCTGAATTGTGAAAGACTGAGCCTGTTGGTGCCTGTCTTCTTAGCACCTCTCCTGGGCTGATGGACATCTCCCAAGGTGCAACTGCTCCCCAGCTTCCTACATGGTATTTACTCAGTGGTTTGTCAGCTGAACTTGACCACTGGGGTAACAAGAGAGTCTATCTGCACACTGGGTAATAAAAGTAATATTTTATATTTTGCAGCATTTGCATTCTTCAGAGATTGCTACATTTTTATTACAAAGGAGCTAAAAATTTTATCTTTTTTTCTTTGTTTTCCTTCTTTTTTTGAACTTGATTTCTACTGAAGAATGAATGATTCAACTAATATGAAAATTCCCCTATCAAAACACCAGACAGGGCCTCTCCATTTTATTTTCATGTTGTGTCATTCAACTACATAACATTATTTTTTCTTAGCCTGTTGAGTGCTCTACAGACCCAGGTTTGATGTGCAGGGAGTATGTTCAAAGCTTGTGATTATGTCTCTTGCTCCTTGTGACCACTCTGGGAGCCTGGGCCATGGAGGATGAGCTGCTCTGACTCTTCAGAGGTTGTATGATGCCAGGAGTAGGGAAGCAGAGTTCAGGTCCCACTAAATACAGTGCTCCTGGGTTATTTGCTCCTAGGACTATGAGGTGCAGACCAACCCCATGGTCCATCCTGTGAGTTCAGGGCAGTGAAACCCCAGGGACAAATAGTTCACTTCCCTGGGTGACGGTCCCAGAGAGCTGGTGTAGGAGTGGCTGGCCTCGGGCCAAGGTTTACTAGCCTGTATGTTGCTGTTGCCTGAAGGTGGTTGGGTTTACTGGAATGCAATAAAAATGCTCAAACATAAAAGGTAGGTAAAGTGACATGGTTAATATGTGAATTGTTAACCAGAGTCCGACAACAAATGTCTGTGGTGGGTGCAGGACTCTCCTGCCAGTGTCTGTAATGGAAATCAAGTTTCCATTCAATGTGACTCTGAGTGACACCCAGGATACAGAAGGAAAACAAACAGTGACTATTCTCTTTCTTCTGAAGCAGCTCCAAAGTGAATGTAAACACTGATTGTTTAGAGACCATCAATTAGGCTAAGAAGTATTTAGAGCAGGTGCAAGAGAGATAACAAATTAAAAGAAAACTTTATAGACTTGTGTATTTAAAACAGTTTGGCTTTTTGATGTTGTGTTTACAGGGAAGAGTATTGACTTGATAGTTGGAGCCTGGGACTCCTTTATGAACTGTTTTTAGTTTGATAAACACATTACAAACATCAAGAGGAAAGGCTTAAATCATGGGAACTTTAATGCTGGGGATGTTTTATTTATCACTGCAGTAATATTGAAAGAACGTTTGAACTTACAGATAGAGGTTTATGGTCTTGTTAACCTCTGTTTTATTAAGGTGGAGTTATGCAACCTTTCATATTCTGAACTCCCTAGCAGTGTCTAGAGGAATTGCTGAGAATTGGCACTTTCTCCTGCTAGTCACTTTGTATGATGTGCTTCCTCAGAACTTGAAAGCCATTTCAGATAAAGGGTAGGAGAAAAGGAAACATTCATTATCTTGACTTTACAGGGGAGAATCTGAGAAATAGAGAAGCGAGGGACAAAGATTTTACAAAATGGTACAATGTTTCAACCAAGAGAAAATGTAATTGACTTTTCATAAAAGAATTCTGCAGATGAAACAAGAAGCTGAACCCTCATCTTCCAGTAGTATAGATGTGGAGGATAGATGTGGATCAATGTAGCTTTTTCATCTCTAATCTTGAAAAAGTATCTTATGTCCCTCCCTAAAATGGGTAACGGTATGAATGTTATATTTTTGTTCGTTTTTTAACACCTCTTGCCCTTTAATTCAAGATTTATCTGTCAATATTCTGCACTTTCACACACTACACAATTTGTTCACTCATGGAAATTTAATATATTTTACAATAGGTTTCTCAGCTTCTTTGTTTTCTGGAAAGGCAGCTTTGTTATTTAGTAAGTGGCTTACTGAATCACTTAGGGAAAGCCACTTGATCTTCTGGCCAGCTCAACTGTTAAATCAGTAAGCAAGAGTACTGACCACTAGATCATCCATCCAAGCCAACCATCCCTTGGTAAATGTATCACTATGTTAAATGTAACCTCTGCTGGCAGAGGTGAAGCATCTCCACCAGCAGTGAGCTTTGAGCTGCAGTGGCACATGGAGAGTGCCTGTGTCCCATGACTGACACTGGGGAGTGCTCTGCACACCTGGGGTGGGGCACAGCAGGGGGATGGGGGTACATTTGTGGCAGCATGTGGCACAGGCATGCCAGGGCACTGTGGTGAGCAGTAATGCTGAGACAGAACTGCCTTCCAGCTCCTCTTCTCTGTCCTGTGCAGCTCTGCATGATGGCAAGGCTTTACCAGGGAGAGGTTTGGTGGAAATATTGAATGGTGCATCCTATTCCATTCATCTTGTTTTTGTGAAAACTGTTTGGTAGCATCAGCCAACCTGCCAAGAGTGAATAGAAGATTATATCCTTGCCTGTGGGAGGGTGGAGGTGAGAAAAAGAGCCTGTGAAGTTTGTGAGGAAAAGTTTTTGGTGGTGGATGGCTTCTGTGAGAAGCTGCTAGAAGATTCCCCATGTTCAGCTTCCTCAAAGATGGACCTACTGCTGGCTGAGCCCATCTGTGACAGTGGCAGTGCCTCTGTGCTGACTTACTAAGGAGGGGAAAGCTGTTACTGCACAGAAGCAATTGCAGCCAGAGAGGAGT